CATGATCCCCACCATGGCATCCTTTCTCCCTAAGCCCTCCTTTCTCTCAATCCCAACACTTCCAGCAGATACCATCTCTTCTATTTCCCTCCCTTCTCCACAATTCTTTCCCTCTCTCATGATCCCATCCCATCCCCAGGTTCCAATCCCGTCCCTGTGTCCCCATTCCCACCCTAAGTTCCAATCCTTTCCCCTGAATCCCATTCCCTCCCCATGATCCCATCCCTTTCCTGTGCCCCTGCCCTTTCCTGACAATCTCATTCCCTCCCTGTGCCCCCATCCCTTCCCCACCATCCCCTTCCCATACCCCACACATTAATCCCAGTTAAATCCACAAATGCTGATTCTTTTTCTCTTTTTTTTTTCCATGTTTTTGGGTTTGTTTTGGTTTTTTTTTTTGCTTCGGTTTGTCATCATCGATAAAAACACCGTCGCTGCCAATGCCAGGAGGGGCGGCCCCCGGCCACGCCGGACCCGCGGCTCCTTCTCCACGCTGCCACAGGGTCAGGGACAGAGGGAAGGGRACAGGGGGAGGACAAAGGGACTGTTGAACCCGGCTGGTGCTCGCGGGGTGCCCGACGCCTATGTACAGGTGGGGCCGCTGGCACAGCCCYGGCTCTGCCCTGCCCGGGGGGCTCCAAACCCGCTCGGCCCTGCCCAGCCTCGCCCGGGGCTCGCTCGGTGCTCGGGGGCRCCGGGGTCCCACTGCCGCCACCGCCGCCGCTCAGTTCGTGTACACCTGAGTCCCGATCACACGCATGATCTCCTTCTGGATTTTGGGGTCCTGAGTATTGATATTGGCATCTCCCACTTGGCCATCTTCGTACCTGCAAAGGGAGAAGGGGGTGAGGGGGGTCCTGTGGGGGTCCCGCAGGTGCCGCGGGGCGCAGCCGCACTCACACAAAGAAGAAGCGGGTGCAGACGTGGTCCGAGACGGGGCACACCCAGATGTTGCCGTGTTTCTGTAGGTCCTTGGAGGTGATCACTACCAGGGGAAGGGGCTGTTGGATGTGGGATGGGGGACGGAGGGCCCGTCTGGGCACAGCCCACTGTGGGGGCCCTCCATCCCTCCACCCATCCGGTGACCCCGTGGGTGCTGCCCATGCTCTCCCATTGTCCCCCCACGTCCCCACACCTTCGCAAAGCGCGATGCAGTTCAGGTTGCGGCTCTGGAGGAAGCGGGACTGGATTGAGCGGGTCTGTGGGAAGAGCAGCTGGTGTCACCACCCTGCCCCAGCGCCCACGGATGCCACGCACCCATCCCCGCCCTGCCCCGGTGTCCCCGGGCCATCACCTGGGGGATGGTGTTCATCCGGTTGTACCGCTGCACCAGCTCATCCTTYGAGGGCATCCGGTGCTGCCCTTTCCCCATCCCTGCAGAAGAAGCGAGGCAGCGGTTGTCACTCCCAGCAGGGAACACCCTGGGGTGACRCGGGACACATGCCACAGACAAGGACAGCCACCCTCAGTGCTCCCACCCTGTGTCTGAGCCCTGGCAATGCCCCAAAAGTGTGCACAGCAGCTTTGGAAGCCTAGAAAATGTTGGGGTTTTGATTCCCTGGCGCRTGGGACAGCCCCAGCCTGGCAGGGAAGAGGCTGGTGTGGATGGGGTGGATATGGGACACTGCCACTCCCACGCAGCTTCTCCAGCCCGGACGATGCCGAAGCTCCCCAGGCCCATGCAGGGAGCGGGAATGGGAGCGCAGGCAGGACCAGACAGTGCAGGCAGCCTCTTACCTGAGTATCCAAAGGAAATACTGGAGATGGGGCTCAGATAGATGCCCTTGCCATAGGCTGCTCCATGCAGCTTGCGGGAAAACACCAGGGTGAGCGTGGTGGGAGCACCCCAACAGCTTGGGCATGGTGGCAATGGAGGAAGCCTGGCACGTCCCAATGTCTGTCCCCTCCCTGCCCCATCCCTGTCCCCTCCCTGTCCCCTCCTTGTCCCCTCCCTGCCCCACCCCTGCCCTCCTGCCCCATCCCTGCCCGCTGCCCCGGGGGTGCGCAGGGAGCGCAGCGGTACCTGCAGTTTGGTGTAGGAGGCRTTGACCAGCCCGTTGCGGAGGATGGAATGCCAGTTCTCAATGTGAGAGCCGCTGCAAAGAGGCAGCCCCGTGTCAGCCCCTGCAGCACCATCCCCACGGGGGCTCCCGCTGTCCCCCCACCCCAGTGACTCACTGGAAAGCAAAGGTGCTGCCATAGAGCTTCTTGGCCGTGCGGAACCGCGCTTCCTTGGCCGGGGGGCTGCTGAGCAGGAGGAACTGGTGCGAGGTGTGCATGAACTTCAGCTGCTACCAGGGCAATGGGCAGAGCAGCGGCAGCGCCGGCAGGACAGACAGACAGACGGACGGACAGAGATCATGCACGGCCGCCCGGCCCCGGGTCCGGCCCAGCCCGCTTTGGCCACTCCATGTGTGCCAGAAGGGCCCTTGACATCCCTGCCTTGTCCCCATCCCACAGCCCATGTCCAACATCCCCCTTCCCCTATCCTGTGTCCTGCCTTCCACATGTTCCAGGCTCACACCCCATCCAAAGGGATCCATCCCACATCCCAGCCCTTCCACTGCCCATCCCATAACCTTACACACCTCATCCTGCATCCCACAGCCCACAGCCTGCATCCTGCATCCCACCTCCTGTACCGCCCCCCTTATCCCATATCCAACCACCCGTATCTTCCATCCCATATCCCATATCCCACCTCCTGTACCCCCCATCCCATCTTTCATATCCCACCTACTGTACCCTCCACCCCCATCCCATAACCCACACCCCACGTTCTGTACCCTCCATCCCACACCCCACCTGGAGCCTGGCCTGGCCCCTTACCCTGCTGAGAGGCAGCTTGACAATGTGGGATCTGTTGCTGGAGATTATCCTTGGGAAAAGGATGAGGAAAAGGAGCAGGGTCACAAAGGGTGGTCCCAACCCTGCTCCAAGGCCTCTGGATGTTCACGACCCCCAGGAGAAAGGAGCTGAGGGGGCTGTGCCATGGATGCCCGGCTGTCCCCCACTCCATCCCGTGTCCCAGGGGCAGTGGGAGGGACGGGCCCGCAGCACCCTCGGCCTTACCACTGCAGGAGGGGATGTGCCAGRGGGTCCAGCTTGTCCATCTGCTTCTTGATCTCCAGGTAGGACCCCTGGCAGAGGCAAGAGGGGGTGCAGGTGGGGCCCCAGCACCCACCCAGCCGTGGGCAGACAGAGATCAGCACCACAATGCCACCCCTGACTGGATCCCACATGGGGGAGGTCACACAGGGCCGTGGGCTGTGGGGCCACGTACCTGGGTCATCTCCCGGATGGACATCACRCTGTCCAGGGCCTTCTGCAGCCGCTCGTAGTTCTTCTTCTGCACAGGGGCAGGGGAGGGGTGGCCATCAGAGGGGTCCTTGGGCTCCCCGTCACCCCCTGGAATGGGGGCAGCGCTTACCTTGGGGTTGAAGGCCAGAGTTTTGGGGTCGTTGGGGTCCACCACAGAGGGGTAAGGCTCGAAGATGATGCTCTTGCGAGGGGACTCGAGGGCAGCGCGGCACATGGCCACCAGCAGGTCCACCACCTTGGGATGGAGCAGAGAGTGAAAGGGCAGCTCCCCACGGGGCCCGCGGGGTCACCCCCACACCCAGCCCTACCTCAGCTCCCGTGGCCACCTCCTCGGCCGCGCCGGACATCACRCCCAGGGTGTAGAAGGAGAAGACGCAGAGCTCCCGGGTGCACACAGCCGGCTGCAGAGGGGACAGAGCGGGAGGGTCAGGAATGGTGACAAGGGGACACGGTGACACAGGGACACGGGGACATGGGGACACAGGGACACGGGGACACAGGGACACAGGGACACGGTGACACGGGGACACGGGGACATGGGGACACAGGGACACGGGACACAGGGACTCGGTGACATGAGGACATGGTGACATGGGGACACAGGGACACAGGGACATGGTGACACAAGGACACAGGGACACAGGACATGGGGACACAGGGACACGGGGACACAGGGACACGGGGACACAGGGACACAGGGACACGGGACACGGTGACACGGGGACATGAGGACATGGTGACATGGGGACACAGGGACACAGGGACATGGTGACACAAGGACACGGGGACACAGGGACATGGGACACGGGGACACAGGGACACGGGGACACAGGGACACAGGGACACGGTGACACGGGGACACGGGGACATGGGGACACAGGGACACGGGACACAGGGACTCGGTGACATGAGGACATGGTGACATGGGGACACAGGGACACAGGGACATGGTGACACAAGGACACAGGGACACAGGACATGGGGACACAGGGACACGGTGACACAGGACACGGGGACACAGGGACACAAGGACATGGGGACACGGGGACATAGAGACATAGGGACATAGGGACACAGGGACACGGAGACACAGGGCCATGGTGAAACAGGGACACGGTGACACGGGGACATGGTCAAACAGGGACATGGGACACAGGGATACGGGACACAGGGACACAGTGCCCACACCCAGCCTGGCCCTGCCAGCCCACCTTGAGCATGGAGCCGTTCTGGAAGACGTGCTGCTCGTCACACACCACGCAGTACTCGTTGAGCGTCGGGATCCGCTGCTCYGCGTACTTCATGATCTGTGGGGCGGCACAGGGACGGTCAGGGGGATGCTCCAGGCACTGGGATGGAGGTGAGTGGGACTCTGGGCAGTGGAGTCTGGGTAAGTGGGATGTGGGCACTGGGGAAGATGTTCTGGGCAGCAGGACGGGGCTGAGTGAGATGTGGAACAGCAAGACGGAGACTGGGCAGAAGGAGAAGGATGAGCAGGACATGAGGCAGTGGGGAGGATGTGCTGGGCAGTGGGATGAGGATGAGCAGGATGTGGGGCAGTGGGGAGGACGCTCCAGAGAGTAGGATGTGGATAAATGGGAGGCGGGACAGTGGGGAGGATGCTCTGGGAAGCAGGATAGAGCTCAGCAGGACACGGGGCAGTGGAGAGGACATGCCAGGGAGTAGGACAGGGGTAAGTGAGACATGGGAGAGTGAGGAGAATGCTCTGGGAAGCACAATGGAGCTCAGGAGGACATGTGGAGGATGCTCTGGGCAGTGGGATGAGGATGAGCAGGATGTGGGGCAGAGGGGAGGATGCTCCCCAGCAGGATGAGGAGCAGCAGGCTGCAGGACCCTCACCTGCACGAGGAAGCCGTACTCCAGCGTGGGGATGTTCTTGCAGTGGCCGCCGACCTGGGACGGAGCCGGAGYGGAGCCAGCTGCGTTATTCCCTTTCCCACACATGCCCCCAGCTCTGCCTGGCACGGGCAGCCCCGGCTCCCCCCGGCACAGTGGGACCCCCAGAGTGCCAAACCCTCCTGGCACAGCGGGATCCCCACCCCTCCCGACATATTGGAAACCTCAACATGCCAAACCCTCCTGGACCCCTAACATTCCCACACCTCTCGGCACAGCAGGACCCCCAATATGCCAAAGCAGGACCCCCAATATGCCAAACCCTCCTGGCACAGCAGGACCCCCGATATACCAATATGCCCTGTACAGCAGGACCACCCCAACATGCCAACATCCCCTGGCACAGTGGGACCCCCGACATGCCAAACCCTCCCAGCACTGCGGGACCCCCGACATTCCAACACCCCTGGCACAGTGGGACCCCCGACATTCCAACACCCCTGGCACAGTGGGACCCCGGACATTCCAACACCCCTGGCACAGTGGGACCCTGGACATCTCAATGCCCCTCTGGGCACAGAAGAATTCCCAACATCCCAATGCCCTTGGCACAGCAGGACCCCCAACATGTCAACATCCCCTGGCACAGCAGGGATGCGGTACCAGGAGCAGGGTAAAATCCCACTGGATGCCTGGGTCATGCCCCAAGAGCACCCAAGAGCAGGGACAAGAAACCCTGCAGGGGCTCCCCGCATCCCACAGCGGCCCCAGCACCCCAGCACAAATAATCCCACCCTGGAGGAAGCCCTGGGAAGGGGAAGAAGACAAAAGCAAACCCCGAGGCGGGGTGGCACCCACCAGGATGTTGAAGGGGGCAACACCTGCCTGGGTGCTGGCTGGGGGGTAGCCAAAAACTTCCACCTTGGGGTTCTTCACCATGCAGGACACRGAGCGGTTCATCAGGCGGTTCACGCGAGGCTCGGGGATGCCCAGTTTGCCCTTCAGCACTGAATCTTGGATAACTGGGAAGCTGGGAGACCTGTGGGCACAGAGCCCCCCTGAGCACCCGCCCATCACCCTTTCCTGCTCCTCCAGCACCCAGAGCCACAGTCACCCTCAGCTGGGAGCCACCTCCACCTCCTGGGGATCTGGCAGGGAGCATCCAAGTGGGGAAACTGAGGCACAGGGCAAGCGGATAGAGGGCTGGTCCCTTGGGGACAGCGCCAGGACCTTACTTGGGGATGGGAGAGAAGATGCTGAGGCCAGCACGGAACTTCTTGATGGTGCCGCTCGTCTTGAACCAACTGTGCCGCTTCTCCTGCTGGGTCTTCAGGAAATCGTTGCTGAGGTGTTTCCATTGCTGGGATGTGAACATGCCCAGGATCCTGGCAGACAGGGGGGACAGCACCCGTGGGTGCTCGGTGGTCCGTGCCATCCCCAGCCCCTCCTCTTCCCCACGCACAGACGGTGGCAAGCCCGTCACAGGGCTGGGTGGTGGAGAAAAGGTGGTGGCACGGAGACATGTGGAGGTTTTGGGGCACAACAGTGACTCTGTGGACCACCCACCCACTACCCAAGGATGCCCACCGCATTTCAGCTCTTACTTCTTCAGCTGCAGACCCAGCCCGAAGCCTTCCTTGTTGGACGGCTGGAAAACCTCGATGGACGGTTCTGCAGGGAGAGGGGAGGACGAGCCATGGGTGCCACTGCCACGCCTGTCCCGAGGGGGCACAGGGACGTGGCATGCCACTCACCGGGGCCATCGAGGTACTGGGACAGGGAGAAGCGCAGGCGGAGGACGATGGGCTCCGTCCGCAGCACCTTCCACGCYGTCGCCACCTCCTCCTGCCGGGGCAGAGCCACGGTTGGGCACGGCCACAGGAACCCCCCAGGGGCAGGGGGCGCAGGGGACCCCCGGGTGCGTGTGCCCTCCCTCCCCAAGGGTGCCCAGCACTCACATCGAGGAAGCTGATGTTCACGTGGAGGTCGATGTCCACGTCATCGATGGTCCCGTACTCCCTGTGGAGATGGGGRCATGGGGGGCTGGCACAGTGCCGGGACAGCAGCCACCGTGCCAGGGTGGGCAGGCTCGTGGGATGGTGACACTGGCACGTGTGGCAGCCCCACGTATGGCGTGTGTGCCCAGAATGTGGATGTGAGGCTGGGAACAGGCAGGAGCTCAAGGGATGGCACAGCTGGGTGTCTGAAGGTGGCACAGATGAGTGCCTGAAGGTGGCACAGATGAGTGCCTGGGGCTGCCACAGCTGGATGCTCCGGGAATGCCATGTCTGGGTGCCCAAGGATGGGGAATGCTGTGGCCAGTGTCCTGGGGAGGGTATATCTGAGGGATGGCACAGCCAGGTGTCCCGGGGATGACATGGTTAGGTGTCCCTGAGATGGCACAGCCAGGTGTCCCAGAGGTGGCATGGCCAGGTGCCTGGGGATGCCATGGTCAGGTGTCACTGAGATGGCATGGCTGGATGCCTGGGCATGGCACAGCTGGATACCCAGGGACAGCACAGCTCTGTGCCCAGAGCAGTGCCCGGTGCAGGGGGCAGCAGGGACACCCACCTGACGGCCACGGCATTCTCGCTGTAGATCTCYTTCACGGCCTCGATGTCGGCATCCAGCTGCGGGTGCCGGTACAGGTCGGCAGCGCAGGTCCCCTACGGCACAGCGCCGTGGCACTGTCACCCCCACGGCCCTCCYACAGCCCCAGGCCCGGGGTCGGGGTTGGGCCAAGGCCTCCCGAGCCCCCTGAGCCCCCCAGGGACCCAGCACCCACCTGGACGCCATAGAGGAACTCCTCGGACTCATTGTCCCCGTCAGAGTCATCGTCCGTCCAGTACTGGCCCTTGAGGTCCTGGGGGCAGAGGGGTGGGAAGGGGGTTGGGGGAGCTCATCAGGGAGGGAACTGGGGGCAGCAAACAGGGGGAGCTGGTTCTGGGGACACGGGATTGAGGGAAGGACTCGGGGAAGCAGTTTGGGGGGAGCAGTGGGACAGGGAGAATGATGTGGGATGGGGGGAGTGTTTGGGGGCAGCAGGGTGGGGATGCGGGGAATAATTTGGGGGAGCAGCGGGATGGAGGAGCAGGATGGGGGAACAGAATGGGGACAGCAGGATGGGAAAGTGAGATGGGGGACCAGGATAGGGGAGCAAGATGGAGACAGCAGGATGGGGGACACTGGGATGGGAGAGTAAGATGGGCACAGAGGGACGGAGGAGCAGTGTGGGGGAACAGGATGGGGCAGCAGGATCGGGAAGCAGGATGGGAAGAGCAGGAGGGAGGAGCAGGATGGAAACAGGGGAATGGACGAGAAGGATGGCAACAGAGGAA